GAACAGACATTTCTCAGACAAAGAAGTAAAAGCAGCAAGTAAATATATGAAAAAATGTTCCACATCACTGGTCATTCGAGAGATGCAGATGAAAACAACATTGAGATTCCACCTCACCCCACAAAGAATGGCTGCTATCAAGAAATTAACCAATAACAAATGTTGGCAGGGTTGTGGGGAAAAAGGAATCCTTCTGCATTGTTGGTGGGAGTGCAGCCTGGCGCAACCACTATGGAAATGGAGATACCTCAAAGAGCTGGGACTAGAGGTTCCATTTGACCCAGTTATCCCTCTGCTGGGTATCTTTCCAAAAGAATTAAAAGAATCATATCACAGAGATATATGCGCACCTATGTTTATAGCGGCATAGTTTGTAATAGCTAAAACTTGGAAACAGCCCATTTGCCCATCAGTTGGAAACTGGGTAAAGAAGATGTGGTTTTTCTATAAAATGGAATATTACTCAACCATAAAGAATGAGAAAATTGATACATATTGAAGACTGTGTAAATACTGAATAGTTTCTCTGGTGTGAATAAACTGCAATAATACATAAGATCCTAATAAGATTACTGACATTGTGAAATGGGAAGAAAGGGGCTAAAATTGTAGGGAAGGTGAGATGGGTAGGGGAAGGGCAATAAGGGAAAAGAAAAAAATGTGTGATAATGAAAAGAAGGAAATAAAGTGTTTGTAGATGGGAGGGGAGAAGGGGGTGAAGGGAGGGCAGGGACAAGGGGAAAAATGAGAACCAAGACCTGTCATGTAGAGGTCCAAGATCCCAACAATGAATGTAACTGTACTATATCCCTAAAATGTACCGATAAACTCAATTAAAGCTGAAAAAAAATAAAGGAAGTTGCAGATAGTGATAGCATTTGTAGTAACTAAATAATCTTGTTTCAATTTCTAGGTGTGATTCATCAACAACTAACATAAGAATATTTATCATGATTCTCAAGAGTGATGAATAAATCTGAGCAAGGTCAAGAAAGTTATCTACGATGGTAGGACATTTGTGATTTTGGTGAGGTCAGAAGAGTGGCAATATCCAGGATGTTGCAGCAAGTTTGTCTGAATGAATACAAGCTGAGTGTGAGTCACACTGATCTGTGAGCCCTGCTCAAACTGAAGGCATATGGGATCTATTATAGCTCCTATCTAGACGTCCCCTGAAAGCCTCATGTGCTTGTAGTTTGGGCTTTTCAGAGGTGGCTGTACCTAGGGTGTGTGCATGTAGATTAAGGGTGTATGATGATTAAACTGGTCTGCTGATTCATTTAGCCTAGTCTGGGTGAGGATAATGGGAGGCCCAATAGGCTTGCAGCCTGAATAGAATAAATGGGAAAGAGGCTTATTTCTGCTTGTCTCCTGTTTGCAGTGCCATGGACTGTTTCTCCTCTGCCATGCTGCCCTGCCTTGAAGCCAGCACACCATGGACTGAAACCTCTACAAACTGTGAGCCCAAATAAACCTTTCCTCCTTTAACTTGTGAGTGTTAGGTATTTTGTCCCAGCAATGAGAAGAAGGTAACTAAGACAGGATCTGTCTGTGACAACACTTTTAGACAGCACAGAACAAAATAGAAGCAGAAGAGAGAGCAAAAGGGGTAAAAAGGAATGACCTATGTTTCAACATAGAGGACAAATGATGACAACTGATAACAAAACCTGAGTACCAAAATGAAAGTAGATAGCCCAAGAACTCAAAAGAAAGATCAGAGTTCAGATGCAGTGCTGAGCTAACATACATCAATATAGCCTCAACAAGCTGCCTGCAGCAAGGCATAAAGGGGCCTTGGCAACACACAGCTGGTAGATGACTGGGGTCTACAGTGACAGACAGTGCATACAATGTCTTTGTGGAACCTTCATGAACACTGTGGAAATAAATGAAGATTGTGCACAGGAAAACAAACACTATCCAGAACATTCAGTAGTAAGAGATTCATCAGACATAAACACTGGCAAAGACTCAAAGTCAGCCTGGAAAGTGACAAAGGTTTATTGTCAAAGAAAGGACAGGTACAGTGGCTAACACCTATAATCCCAACAACTTGGGAGGCTGGGGAAGGACACTCACAAGTTCAAGGTCAGCGTGGTCAATTTATAGAGACTGTCAACAAATGAATACATACATGTATCATCAGGGCTGGGATCTACCTCAGTATGAAGCCTTGGATTCAATACCCAGAATTGAAGGTTGGGAGGGTCAGATAGACTCTAACTGAATCTTAGAATAGGGGAGCTGGAAGTGGGATAACTAGAAGAACAATTTATGATTTGGGGAGCTTATCTTCTTCTAATTGATCCTGTGTTGAAAGCAGAGGCAAAATCTTAATGTTCTGCAGGATTTGCTGCCAAGGTTGTGGTCTGAAATACTGGACTCATTGCTGCCAAGGTTGTACATTAGCTTTCTGAGCTAACTGCCACAGGAGTTTTAGGTCAGAGTTCTATCACCAGTGTCCATTTGTATATTCCGTCTATCGCAGTGGAATTTTGGCATTGTGTATATTAAAATACCTGCCCGGTGGATCATATTTTACAGCTATTGAATCGGCAGTCATATGACAATGTTTGTTCATATACAACTTTAAACTTTTTAATATATTTTAATACATTGTTTCCCTTTTTGTCCTTACAACAAACTTGTGATTCTGAGATGTTAATTACCCAAGGTTATGCCATGGATTTGGACTAAGAGTCAGGATTAGATCATAGAACAGAATAGCTTGTAATATATAACTCAAATTTTCTGGCACAGACATCAAGTATACTGGCTTTAAAATAAATATTGTGAATTTTATTATTATTATGATTACAAGTGGTTATACATGTAAAGTCCTTGCTTTGTTGTCTAGTACATAAGGAAAACTCTACTAAGAATTAGCTAGTTTTGCTAAATTTTAAACTTTATTACATTTTTCCTATCTTCAAATTATTGTCTTTTAGATGTAGTCTACTTTGTTTGTGCCACAAATAAGTCAGATGTTTTCAGCTGCCACTGAAACAAATTAACCAAGCTAACCCAATATTTATTGAATACCTACGTTTTGCCAGATTTATTTTCAAGTTCTCGGTACTCCTTGAAGTTCTAAATATAAAATAAAATAAAATAAAGATCGTGGGTTCCATATTATGATAAAGGATCTGCTCCAATTGCTTCTAATTCTATGGCTTAAACCCAGGATAAAAACTTGAAAGAAGAATCATAGCTCCCTTCAAATACCTACAAGGCTGTCATGTGGAAAAAGGATTGCATTTGCTCCTATGGTTGCAGAGGCCTGAACTAGCACAGCCAGTGAAAAAGAGAAAAACATCAACTAAGGTGAGAAATATCTTTCAAATAATGAAACTTTTGTCCCAAAATGAAAGTGTAGCCTTGTGAAAGATTTAGTTCTTCCTGTCTCATACAGTTTGAGTAGGATTCTAAGATCCTGCATTTCTAGAGCCCTAATTATTCAAGGTTATTCCATGGAACTAACTTGAAAGCCCTCCAAAATTCAAGCTTATAAACTTTTGTTAAACTTTAAAAAGAGACATAGATATTTTAAATACAGCATTTCAATAGGGTAGTTTAAAGTCATTAAAATTCTAACTGACATTGTTATGTTTTTCAAAACCACGAGCTCTATTCTAAATTTTTACCCCTGGGCTCTTGCTTGAATTAGCGTTTTTCTTTTACACCCTTATATTTTCACAACCATTTTTTTAAAAAGTGAAAACTGCCCTAAGATGAAGTCTAATGCAATCCTTGAAGAGCACTGATTTCTCGTTGCATGGTTATAAAACTTTGTACTAAAGGTATTGCATTTGGTTTTGATGATTAAATAAATTACAGGAATTCATTGAAGTAAACGAACATTCTGCATAAATCTAGTTACTCCAAGTCATCTTTGGACATCTTCCGGGACCACACTTCAGGCCGAGCTGGAAATTGTCCTCTTTACCATATCTATTTTTTTATGACTGTACATATTTACATACATTACACATATGGCCAGGGAGAGCGAAAGATGACGTGAGGCTCTCGCTGGAGAATAGGAGGTAATAAGGAAATGAAACAGGTGTCAAGAAGGAGCAGGGCGAGTACGAGCTAAGCGCTGTGCACATCACAGGAGTCCTCTGCAGGTGGCAACCCGGGGAAGCCATCCGTGCCCCCTCTTGGGGGACCGGCCCCTTTGCTTTATCTTCGCTCGCCTGAAGCCCGGGTACACGTTTGTTTGAAACGGCCCGCATTTCCCACTGGATTGCTGGTCGGGTTGATTTTTCTAGAACAGTGGATATTTCTTTTTTAATGTTTCCTATTTCTTTTTTGTTACTGTCGTTTTTGTTGAGGTGGAGGGTGAAGAGACCAGTCGGAATTCAGTCTGGGTGCGTGGGGGAAGAGTTGGAAGCCAGAGAGCAAAGCAGCTTCCCGTCCCCGCTACTCTCCACCCGGGAGCTCTCGGGGAGACCCCTCAGCAGTATCTGATCGACTCTTCGCCAGAGCGCTACCAGCACTCGCCTGCGCCTCGGAAGCCGGCACCCAGGAGCACGCTGCTCCGAAGCTCCGTAGCGGGCGCGCCCCCTCCCCGGGGCGGCTCTGCTGCGGGCC